TTTTAATAATTATTTCGACGAAAACGAAGAACATGAACATCGATATTACGCCGCGAATGTCTATGACTACACTGGGTCTGATCGAAACCAAATTTACCGGCGGCAATTTGGAGAACAATTCGTCTCAAGTTCAAAACAATCTCCTTCGATTGCAAATTGAAGCCAGCAGCAAGAAAAACGTCGAAAACCAAGAAAGCGAAGTACGAAACCTGGTCCCAAGCCGTTTAAGTTTACATTTACATCAATCAGGAGAGTTTTGGAAAACACAGTCTTGGTTTGAGTGCGACCACCACCAAAATTTGGCACTTGCGAATTTTTTGCAAATTTTTCCTCGCCAAAAATTACAAAATTTTTTATGTAAACAAAATTGGCTGTAGTGCGACCCGTACCTTTATTGTCTTAATGGGAGAGCCTTTGCGAGGAGAGAGCAACCCTGTAATTTGTTTTTCGTTTTCAGATTTGTTCATTTTCTTACTCGTTCGTTTTAATAACAAGTAAAATGGGCAAATAATTATTGGTCAAGTTCTTTGTCACGCAATTTTAGGGTCACGCTCTTCAGGCATGGTCACCAGTTGCCTAGTTCCTAGGCCTCTATATTTCGCCGCGGTCAATCCGGTTCGGATGGGTCACGTGGTCCGAGCTCGTCTCGGATACGTCACTGAAATGAATTGACCGTGAAAGCCTGGAGAAGGCCGTACAGGAACTGGGCAAGGTCACCAGCACATGTACTAAAAGGTCTCGACAGAGCAGAAAGAAACTGAGTTGTCGACAACTAAAATGAGTCGACAATTGCAACTATTAATGTCCACACACTATACTAGACCAAAATTATTGACTGGGAAATTTTGGTAACTAGCGTTCGCTGCGCATGTCAGTGCCAGGCAAAACGCTTTTCGGAGAAGGAAAAAAGCGACTTAGCGGATGTGATCTATAACAATCTCGTTCCCAGAGTCCTCGTTATCCTTGTCCAGCGGTGGAGCGGCCAACAAGGACCTCTGGGGAAAAGCGATCCGCCATGACCGGATTCTAGGACTTCCGGCTCTACTGCGCATGTGTTTCGACCCCATGTTTCAACTAACCGGACGCCAAGATTCTTGGACTTCCGGTCTTACTGCGCAAGTCAGGCGGATCACTCTATCGCAGAGGTTCTTGTTGGCCGCTCCACCGCTGGGACAAGGGTAACGAGGACTCTGGGAACGAGATTGGATCTATAACGAAGAAATGAAAAACGTGAACCAGAAACCGCTGGCAACGTACAAACATTGATGATGGCGTAGTTGTCGGCAACTGTCTCACAGACAAGAAACAACGAGTTGTGACGCGTTTGTCGAAAACACATAGTTGTCGACAAACTATCTCTCTAGTTTGTCGAGGCATTGTTTAAGTCCCGAGTTGAACTGAATTCAAAATACACTGCGACTGAAAATATTTTATTTTTGCGGGATAATACAACGTCCATCCATACAAGATAGGATGATCTAAGAGAAGCATTCCCCCATATAGACTGTGAGCAGTCTCTTCCTTCCTCGTTTTTTCACCTAATTTGTATAATTACACATTTCCGCTCGCGCCAAAGATCTGATCCATACATTGCGGGTGTCTAATTTGAACTATAATTTGAGCGGCTACCTAATTGGTCAGTTCCGTTCGAGTTACAGCATGGTACGAACTGAACCACTGAATCAGACTTGCTCTACTAAGATTTCTACCAGCAATACTGGCCAAAAGTATTTGGGACACTTAACAAAATACCACCCAGAGACAAATAGATTTTTTTAATTTTAAATTCATTATTACATTTTTCCACCTCCCCTCTCCCAACAAACAATGTTGACATGTGGTGAATGGGTTGAATAGAAAGGAAAATTAACATTGTTTTTTGGGGGGGAGGGGGGAGGGGGGAGGGGAGACAAAGACCATTTGATGGCAAAATGTGAAGTGTCCCAAAACGTTTGACCAGCATTGTAGAAATGTGTGCGGTTCACACGGGATGGCCGCTTAATAAGGGTTTTATTTACAGTATTATACTGATAATAATTTCTGGACTTTGGATAAGTGGCCGCTTAACCGGAGGTGGCCGCTTACCGCTTAATCGGGTTCAACTGTAAGTTTCAATGTCGCGTAAATAAGTATCCCGACATTTAAATGTCAATGTATGTCATGCAAGTACGATCAATTCAAAGTAGTATGGTGACCATGTTAATCCACATCACTGAGTCCATGTTCTTCAGACGTATCGTCATCACTTTCCCGGCTCGTCAGTGTTCAAATATTCGTACAGACATTACATTGCAACATGGCGTCATACAGAGTCACAACAGCCAATTTTGATATTTAGTCGGGTTATTTTTCTTGTATACATACTCACTAAAAAGAAAAACAAACAGTGTCTGTCAGTTTTTTTTAAATTTTCGGCTGGAATGTTTTGCCTGGAATCTTTGGTGTGTACATAATTAATGAGATCGCGAAAATCGTTAGCCTGAGATCAGGCTCCGAGAGAAATCGCCGAGCGCGGACTGGGGCACACCACAGTCCGCGCTGATTTCTCTCGGAGCCTGATCTCAGGCTAGAAAATCGTCAACTGAAGTGACTTCGTTTCCATCGCAAAAAATATATTAAGTGCCGTCCTTCCAAACTTGTCGCAAAATTTCCATGTCGGTAATTTGGCTACTGATTTTCCCTTGTGTTTTTGAAAGCGGTAAATATTCCATTAGGTTTGCATGCTTACTGTTTTTCATTCATTTACTATTGGCTATCTCGAACTCGAATCTCGAATCCCCCGCTATCTCGAACAATATTGGCGTGTTTCTTTGAGAGTTCGAGATAGCGGGGGCCTACTGTAGTTCTAAATTTGACAGCTTCTCCCTGCATGCTTCCATGCATTACCTGTCTTCACTCTACTTTCAAGAAAATAAACATCATTTTCACCCAGTTAAGGTTTCATTGATTAAGCAGTTTTTTTGCCCGGTCTGCTACAATTTTATAATTAAAAGAAGCGATTGACAAGCAGGTGTTGCTTGTTTTGACAAGACGGCTAATGTGTCCAAGTTTCCTTGTTTATATTTCAAGGCCAGAGTTGTTACATTTTGCTTTAAAGCAATTGTTACATTTTGCGTCAAACGTTGTTGCACAATGTTACATTTTTCGGCGTAAAATGCGTTTTTTAAGAAATAACTATTATTATTCACTGTCTCTAAAAAATCTTTCCTATGTATGTTAATCCAAGAATGGTCTAGAAATGTGGAACTTGTCTGAAATTTTCAGTTAGACGTCAAATAAAATTTCACATTTAATATATTGATAAAAAAATTAAAACATTCACTGAAGGAACAGTATAACTTTTGTATCGTTTGTCCCATTACAAACATCTGCTTTCATTATTTCGCCAAAACTTTGCGCAAATCAATGATGATATACGGAGAAGGAAAAAGGTTCCTTCTTTTGGTTTATCCTGATACTTAATCTTTCATGATATTCCTGGTCATTTATTTTCCGTCTGTGTGTTATGTCTTGAGCGGCGGTAAAGCTTTTTTAATCAATTGGACAGCTCAAGTACATGTGTTGGCCTACTTCTTATTACCTCGACTCGCTCTTTTTCCTATAAGAAGGTTCGGCCATTGAAAAATCTTGGTTTACAGCAGCTATTCAATCTGAACCAGTCAAATGAGCCTTGTTTCAGTTGTTCTTCTGTGTCATGTACGCCAATATGGGTCGGCTTCAGTCGTACTTTGGCTTGGTCGGCCATAAACTTGCAAAAAAAAATAATGCATGATTGATTTTGTCAAGCTGTCTCACCTTGTCTTGTTTTTTCATTGTTTTTAATTTGAAAGCTTCCTTCACGTCTACTTTTCTATTTCATTTCCTCCATGCTTACCACTCGATGCTGGTCGAGTTTTGAAAGATATGCCATGCAAATAAATTAACATCCTCATGCAAGGAAATCAATGCATTGTCAAAAAAAACCAAGTCCAACATTTCTGGAGAGTATTTTTTCTCTTTTTTTTCTAAAAATAGCTTAAAGTTGTTTTCCAAAGAGCTTCAATGATAAAAAGCAAACGAGCAGGTGCAATTTGAATGCGAGGACGTTTGTCATGCAACACCCATAAGAAACGAGTCTTAAAATTTTTATTTAATTATAAATTGGAGCCCATCACAAGAAAGATCACATTAAAATTAGTCGGTTTACCAAGTTTGGGGTTCTTAGTTAGATTGCAACCATGTAGAAGGCTTTCAAAAGTCAGAGAAATTAGAGACATTTGCATGGAATTTGGACGACCTTTGACAGCTCACAGCCTGGTTACTATGCAATGTAACGTAACCAAACTTGGTAAACTTACACATTTTCATGCGCACTTTTTGGTGATGGGATTTATGGTGCAATTTGAACAATGGGTAAACTATGGCCCAGTCCCTTTTTGAACTTTGGAACGGACAATGGTGCGAGAATTTTATAGAGACTGAGAATAAAGCCATGTCGTAAAAACAAAGTAAGCTGCCTCGTCTCTTTTAATCTTGGTTGCTTTGGTAATTCGTTCATGATAAAATTTACAAGTTTGGATTTCGAAAGCGAGGCATGGGAGTGAAATTAGATATAAAATAAAGATATTTTTGCGACCAGAATGACTGGACTGGCACGGTTTGCCAAGCTTATTCTTATTTTAAATCTTGTATATGTGCACAAATACACAAAGACGAATCACCAGAGCGTAAGAATAGAATTGTGTACATATCCTAATTATATACTATTATCCTAAGAAACTCAAACAATAAGACAATTTAGACAGCACCTTAGGGAATCAATATTCATGTTTTATTTTTACTTGTCCAGCATTTTTAACGTAATAACTAATATAATATTCATTATCATGTCCTGAAGAGAACCCTGAGAGGTTGAAAGTTCTAGACAAGCCAGCGAACTTTTTCATGCTCCGAATTGTTGTAATATATAAATCTAGAAGAAAATGAGTTAATCTGGCGTAAACCTGCATAAAGTGTGCCGAGACGCGATGGCCGAATGGTTAGCGCGCTGGACTCCGCACCGAGCGGTCTGGGTTCGAGCCCTGGCCTGGGGGACTGCGTTGTGTTTTTTGGGCAAGATACTTTACTCTCACAGTGCCTCTCTCCATCCTGGAGTATAAATGGGTACCGGCGACAACATTTTGGGGGGTGACCTGCGAAGGACTAGCATCCCATCCAGGGGAGTAGCAATCCTCCTAGTCGCTGAACATGCTACAGAAACCGGGATAAGCTCCGGCAGTTGTGTGCCACTAGGCTCGTGAAGACTTTACATACACTTTGATTCATTCAGCAATTGTCGTCTGGCTTCCTGTATCAATAATGTGTTCACTACAATGTGGAAAAAGTAAATATTCGGAGCAACTAACAAGCTCTCCCATCCCCAAGGAGCTAGTCCAGTCCCTGAACTCTCTCTTACCCCCGCCCATACGGACTGGAACTCTTCTCTCCCGCTGGGTTCAGACCCTATATAGGGCGGGGTAAAGAGAGAGTTCAGGGACTGGACTACAAGAGAGCTTGCTCGAAGGCTAATACGAGCGTTATTTTTACCACAACCAGCCAGAGGTCTAAGTTTTAAAAACTCTCTGAACTTCGCAGTTCATTCGATAGGAGTAAGGAGAACTTGGCTTTTTATAATTTTATCTTGTACGGCAATTTCGTAAAAGGAATAAGACCTCCGAATTTTTTAAAAGCCTTGTTTCTTTGTTTTAACGTGGGTTAAATCTATACCATAAAACATATAAAGAAGCCAAAGCCAATTATACTATCATAAAGCACTCCGGTTATTTGTGAACACTTGAAAATTGTAGAAAACACTCGCCTCCGCTGCGGTTTTCCTGTCAGAGAATTTTCAAGATGTCTAACATGACGTCTTACTTTAAAATTATTGCCCGCGGCAATAAACATATTGTAAATATCGCAGGCTGAATTTGACTAGAACTCTCTAAAAGCTATTTATCTATTAGTCTTTAAATGGCGTAGTTCATTTCCCCATTTTCGCTTTCTTGCCATTGTTATAGATGGTGGCAAGATGGCTTTTGCCAATCTCGTGTGTGTTTCCGCCGTCTTCAGGCTTTTCGGTTGAACTGAATTCACAATCGTGTTGACATTCAACAAGAAGTGTTGTTGAGCATATTTGCACTTAGCTACGAATCCAACGACTATGATACTACACTTGTTTCTGTACTGATAGTGCTTTAAAGATGAACTAGGTCTCGCTAAACCAAGTATCACCAACACATCGTCATCATCTGGCAGTTTGTCATCAACTGCAGTTATTTTATAGTCGAATAATTCACCATTAGTGCTTTTACATCTCCGTTTCCCCGGTTCGCCGTCGATTATTAAGCTCTTCCTTTGGCATTTGTATATTCCAACAGACGGGCACTTTGTACGCTGTAATGACTGTAATACGTATTTCCCGTTTAAAGCCATCCATGTTACCAAACACCTCTTTAACAGTTTGACGACTCTGATCTATTAGAATGTCATACAACTCGCCGAGATCAGAGTTGTCCTCCGATGGATCACAAGGATTTATGTAATTCACAAGGACATCATTCGTCCGATGAGGATACATCCCTTCAGGTTGTGGGTTTATTATTCCAAAGAGGTGCTTCTCTCCAATGCAAAGATCTTTATCTTTTGCTAACCAGCGACAAGAACCTTGCCGTAGCACAGGCCTTACTAATTTATGTCCGTCCATATCCAAACCGATATAACAAAATTCCATCATCACCTATTTTTGCTTTCACGACGATCAGTAACCTCAGATATTTCCGCCTTTGAAGCGAATCGAAAGCATGCATTTTTCAAAATTTTTACGGCTTTTACTGGACAGAACACAAAATCGTTGGTCGAGCGCGCAACGAAAACACACTTAGCCTGCTTTGTTGATATATATTCTGAATATTCCGAGAAACGTCTATGGCTTTCTGTGAAACACAAAAACAGGTCATTCGGGTCATTGACAATATATTTGCACGTCAGATTTGCCTGTTCAATTATTATGACATAAATATTCTATGATGTGGTTTTTAAATAATAATAATAAAAAAATAATAATATGGATGGTTTTAATTATTGTGGAAATTACCGAAAATGCAATAAATGATTTAAGGAAAGACGACATGACTATATTTGTGATATTTAGATAATTGTTGCATGAATAATGAATGAAAATTAAAATTAAAAATTCAATTCAAATCTAGCCTGCGTGCAGACGTAGCAAGGAAATAGGAAACGTCTGCACACATGCTATTCAGTCAAATCAGGCAAAAATAAAAAAAATTATCTTAGTGGGAGAGCCTTTGCGAGGAGAGAGCAACCCTGTAATTTGTTTTCCGTTTTCAGATTTGTTTATTTTCTTACTCGTTCGTTTTAATAACAAGTACAATGAGCAAAGAATTATTGGTGACCTAAAAATTGCGTGACAAAGAACTTGACACTCTTCAGCATGGTCACCAGTTGCCTAGTTCCTAGGCCTCTATATTTCGCCGCGGTCAATCCGGTTTGGATGGGTCACGTGGTCCGAGCTCGTCTCGGATACGTCACTGAAATGAATTGACCGTGAAAGCCTGGGAGAAGGCCGTACAGGAACTGGGCAAGGTCACCAGCACATGTACTAAAAGTCTCGACAGAGCAGAAAGAACTGAGTTGTCGACAACTAAAATGAGTCGACAACTATAATGTCCACACACTATACTAGACCAAAATTATTGACTGGGAGAGTTTGGTAACTAGCATTCGCTGCGCATGTCAGTGCCAGGCAAAAACACTTTTCGGAGAAGGAAAAAAGCGACTTAGCGGATGTGATCTATAACAATCTCGTTTCCAGAGTCCTCGTTATCCTTGTCCAGCGGTGGAGCGGCCAACAAGGACCTCTGGGAAAAGCGATCCGCCATGACCGGATTCTAGGACTTCCGGCTCTACTGCGCATGTGTTCGACCCCATGTTTCAACTAACCGGACGCCAAGATTCTTGGACTTCCGTCTTACTGCGCAAGTCAGGCGGATCACTCTATCGCAGAGGTTCTTGTTGGCCGCTCCACCGCTGGACAAGGGTAACGAGGACTCTGGGAACGAGATTGGATCTATAACGAAGAAATGAAAAACGTGAACCAGAAACCGCTGGCAACGTAACAACATTGATGATGGCGTAGTTGTCGGCAACTGTCTCACAGACTAGGAACAACGAGTTGTGACGCGTTGTCGAAAACACAGTTGCCGACAACTATCTCTCTAGTTTGTCAAGGCATTGTTTAAGTCCGAGTTGAACTGAATTCAAAATACGCTGCGACTGAAAATATTTATTTTTGCGGGATAATACAACGTCCATCCATACAAGATAGGATGATCTAAGAGAAGCATTCCCTCATATAGACTGTGAGCAGTCTCTTCCTTCCTCGTTTTTTCACCTAATTTGCATAATTATACATTTCCGCTCGCGCCAAAGATCTCAGGAGAAAAGACCGACTGCTCGTAGTCTATCCCCCATACATTTGCGGGTGTCTAATTTGAACTATAATTTGAACCGGCTACCTAATTGGTCAGTTCCGTTTCGAGTTACAGCATGGTACGACTGAACCACTGAATCAGACTTGCTCTACTAAGGTTTCTACCAGCAATACTGGCCAAAAGTATTTGGGACACTTAACAAAATACCACCCAGAGACAATAGATTTTTTTAATTTTAAATTCATTATTACATTTTTCCACCTCCCCTCTCCCAACAAACAATGTTGACATATGGTGAATGGGTGAATAGAAAGGAAAATTAACATTGTTTGGGGGGGGGGGGGGGGGGGGGGGAGAGGGGAGACAAAGACCATTTGATGGCAAAAATGTGAAGTGTCCCAAAACGTTTGACCAGCATTGTAGAAATGAGTGCGGTTCACACGGGATGGCCGCTTAATAAGGGTTTTAATTTACAGTATTATACTGATAATAATTTCGGGACTTTGATAAGTGGCCGCTTACCGCTTAATCGGAGTTCAACTGTAAGTTTCAATGTCGCGTAAATAAGTATCGCCGACATTTAAATGTCAATGTATGTCATGCAAGTACGATCAATTCAAAGTAGTATGGTGGACCATGTTAATCCACATCACTGAGTCCATGTTCTTCAGACGTATCGTCATCACTTTCCCGGCTCGTCAGTGTTTCAAATATTCGTACAGACATTAAACTGCAACATGGCGTCATACAGAGTCACAACAGCCAATTTTGATATTTAGTCGGTTTTTTTTTCTTGTATACATACTCACTAAAAAGAAAAACAAACAGTGTCTGTCAGTTTTTTTTATTTTCGGCTGGAATGTTTTGCCTGGAATCTTTGGTGTGTACATAATTAATGAGATCGCGAAAATCGTTAGCCTCAGGCTCCGAGAGAAATCGCCGAGCGCGGACTGGGGCGGGAACGCGAAGGCGTTCCCACCACATGTACAGTCCGCGCTGATTTCTCTCGGAGCCTGATCTCAGGCTAGAAAATCGTCAACTGAAGTGACTTCGTTTCCATCGCAAAAATATATTAAGTGCCGTCCTTCCAAACTTGTCGCAAAATTTCCATGTCGGTAATTTGGCTACTGATTTTCCCTTGTGTTTTTGAAAGCGGTAAAGATTCCATTAGGTTAATTTGCATGCTTACTGTTTTTCATTCATTTGCTATTGGCTATCTCGAACTCGAATCTCGAATCCCCGCTATCTCGAACAATATTGGCGTTTTCTTTGAGAGTTCGAGATAGCAGGGGGCCTACTGTAGTTATAAATTTGACAGCTTTCCCTGCTTCCATGCATTACCTGTCTTCACTCTACTTTCAAGAAGATAAAAATAATTTCACCCAGTTAAGGTTTCATTGATTAAGCAGTTTTTTTGCCCGGTCTGCTACAATTTTTTAATTAAAGAAGCGATTTGACAAGCAGGTGTTTGCTTGTTTTGACAAGACGGTTAATGTGTCCAAGTTTCCTTGTTTATATTTCAAGGCCAGAGTTGTTACATTTTGCTTTAAAGCAATTGTTACATTTTACGTCAAACGTTGTTGCACAATGTTACATTTTTCGGCGTAAAA